CCCCCCGCCCGCCGTAGCCCCATCCCGAGGTTCGCGGGGCCGCGGCGGGCCGAGGCGTCTCGGCGCGGGTGGCGAGGCCATGCGGGTCGGTAACGACTGTGCTCTGGTTTATCCCCAGGAGGAGGAAGAGGAGGAGGAAGAGGAGCTGGTGGTAAGACGCTGGAGACGGCAGCGCAGCGGGGGCCTGGGTCGGTGGTGCCGATGGGGAGGGGTGGGTGCAGCGCAGCTGGGCCCTCCCCGCGCTGTCACGCGGGTGTGACTCCCTGCACCTGCTGCGTGCGCGGCCTGGGCACGGACTGCTCTGCTCCATAGTCTGTACGGCAGCTTGTTGCTCCTGGTGAAAGAGACACGCTGTGGATCTCAGCACTAGAGCACGCATATGTAGGTTTGAGTGGCTGTTTCCTGGTTTATGCTGGTGATACAAAGCTTAGGATGGAAGTAGTTTGAATCTAGACTCTTGTATGGGTGTATGGCTCCCATCAGGCCATGTAAAACAATGAACTTTGAGGAGAAAAATTGCTGCATTGCAAGGTCTCTTTGTTCTCATCGCAGTTCTGTGTCTGCAGGATCCTTTAACCACAGTTAGGGAGCACTGTGAGCAGACCGAGCAATGCGTGAAGGCACGGGAACGTCTGGAGTTGTGTGATGCACGAGTGTCCTCGAGGTCCCAAACAGAAGAGCAGTGCACAGAGGAGCTCTTTGACTTTCTGCATGCCAGGGACCACTGTGTAAGTGCAGCACGGGTGGGTGTAACATCCCTGCTGATGCTGTGAGCAGAAGTGTGTTTAACTGTATTTCTAAGAGTGAAAATAATTTGAGTGTGAGGCTTAGTAACTGTTGAGTCCCAGTCAGAGGGAGCTCTGAAGAAGTGTAGTTTAACAGTAAATATGCTTCCTACTTATTACAATTCCATCTGAAATGCTGTAGGCTATTAAACAGTGGAGTAAGTGGATCACATTTTTGTGCCCTACAAATAGCTTTGCTATGTTAGCATTACCTATTCAGAATTACCCCTTTTTGTCTGAGGTGATGCCTTGTAAGAAATCTCAGCCTGTTAGTTTTTTGAAATGACTTTCTAGTATTTGTAAAACATTGAGAAGAGCAGAGAGGGTGGAGAGTCATGCGTATTAGTGGTATAGAAAACCAAGTGATGGGTGAAAAACTGTCTTGGCTTCCGGATTTTTTTGAACTGAGAGAACTTAACAGTGAGTGCTTTGTCCTTTCTTTTTTTAGGTTGCTCACAAACTCTTTAATAAACTGAAGTGAACTCTGGAGTAATTGTTCATCTACTTCCACGATCCAACAGAAAATCCTTGTAGATGGTTCTTGGATTCACAGTATTGCTTGCTGCCTGTTTATTGTGAATGTGAAATATAAATGAAACGGCTTTCTGGCAGCCTGGCAGTGACTGAGTGTTGGCATATCATTGCATCTGTTTTCATGGAAGATGTGCAGCTACACAAAACCCATGTTGATGTTCTGTAATTTTCCATATTAAACATTAAAAGTTCCTGTGGAAATATCTTCCTTTTATTTCTTAATCCTTGTGGTTCTGACTTGCACCAATACCAGGTTAAGAGATGAAAGCAGGGTGGGTTGGAGTCTGTCGGTGGGAGTGGATGGCAGAGGCTTTTCTTCACTTTTGGGAACATCCTTTCTGTACAGCCATTATGAGCAACAGTTGGAATGCAATCCCATAAGTAAGAGTTTTTCTCTTACCAAAAGATTTTTTTAAGCTGCTCAAGATGGGTGTTGTTCATTCAGTAAGTTGTGACTAAATTAAACGCCTTCCAAAAATACTTGCTGCCTACCAGATGATATGGAGTGACTCTTTTTTTTAGGGGAGAAATACAGCTTACATGGTGTACTTGAACAGCTGAGAAAAATTATGTCTTTGCACTGGTTGAAGACTTTTCTTTTGGAACAGCCTTTTCATGTGTGTTTTTGGTTTTTTTTTTTTTTTTAATGGCCCTATTTATTTCAGAGCTTGAAACCTGGTACCTGCCTTTTGGGAAGCCGCAATGCGCAGCCTTGTCACTATAAAGTGCCTTGTGGGGAAAGCTGGCAGCTGTCCCTCACTGCCACCTATTGCTGCCAGAGGTCGGAGGAGCCTCTTCTCTACTGCGGTCTTGCACGAAGCAACCGGGTGGCTGTAGACAGACCTGGCGAGATGGTTCGCCCCTGCTCTCCAGCGCAAGAAGTCGCAGCGGCGCTAGAGCCCGGGCTGTGAGCCGTCCTTGGGGCTCCGAGCGCTGCTGGGGAGAGAGGAGGCCCTGCTGGGGGTGAGGTTGGATCCCCCTGCCCGGACGACCTCGGGCTGCGGCTCTGGGCGGGAGGTTGTTCAGCGCTGGAAAAATGGGGATGTTTCACAGGGCCGCAAATGCTTTCTCAGCGGTTTTTAAATCATCAGAGTTAAAAAATAACATTTTTTAAAAACTCGGCGGTTGTCTTAATGATATAGTAGTCCGTAATCCTTTTGCTGATGGGGTCCTGATGTGAGCCCTCAGGGACTGAAACGGCGCTTTCTTCGGGGAAGCGCGACGAGTTAGGAGTAAGGGTCCGCGTTTTCCCCCTGGCTCGGGTTGTGAAAGAAGGCCCGGGGCGGGGGGGACGCGCACGACCGGCCGCCGCGCCGGGCCCC